GAGAGAGAGAGGACGACGCACACACACACACACACACACACACACACACACACACACACACACACAAACACACACTGGAAGTGGTTGCTGGTGCGGTGACGGGTTTACATACATACAGACACGAGTAAACAGCGCGGTGGAATTGCTGTTGCTGTCGACTTGCTTCTCGCCCATACCGCTTGTCTTCCAGTACTCACTGTGACTCCTCGACACTTCATGGCATACAGAGACCAAGGACCCGTCCGTGCGTGTGCTGTTTCCACACGGTTGTGACGTCGCCGCAATGCGCAGTCGAATCGAGGGTGCCTGGTTCAACGACAGGCACATCACCACCACGCCTGCCCGCACAGACGGCCTCCTCTTCCTCGGCAACCTCTGTGAGTCACTGCCTGATATTGTGCATGTGCATGCGACTGCGACTGTGCGCAATCCGTATGGTACGTGCTTCCAAGCGCATGTCACAAGCGCACGCACACACACAAACACACACACGCACACACACACACACGAGCACGTACACACGAGCACTTACACACGAGCACATACAAGTTCGCACACACACACGCGCGCGCACATTCAAACATACTCATGGACGCTTCCCTGACGTATTGCTCACACGCTCACTCATGTGTCTATACACACCTGCCTTGAATCCACACGGCACGCGCCACGCGAGCAGCAAAGCGCATGACACCTGCACGCCTGATTGAGCTTGGTAGCCCGTCTGGTCAGATCTGCCGCGCCTTTGTCATGGTCGACGAGGCAACTCTCGAGGGCCAGGGCTATGGCTTCTTGGAGTTTGTCAACAAGGCAACAGCTGTTAAAGCACGTGCCGACTTGGCGTCCCGAGTTGTTGATGACCGGCCCATTCGCGTTGATCTCATGAAGCCCGTGGACAACGTACGTACCTCTTGTGTGTGTGTGTGTGTGTGTGTGTGTGTGTGTGTGCGTGTGTGTGCGTGTGTGTGTGTGTGTGCTTGTTTGCTTGCTTGTGTGGTTTTGTGTTTTGTTTGCTTGTGTGGTTCTGTGTTTTGTTTGCTTGTGCTTTCATGGTTGCTAAAGTGTGGTTCTCGGAACTTTGGAGAGCACTCCTGCTCGTCAATTCTCTCACACAACACACCAAACCCTCACAGGATATCTCTCATTTCCGCTCCCGCACGCTTTTCATCGACCGCCTTCCCAAGACACTAACCAATGTCAACAAGCTCAGAGCGTGAGTCAAGAACATCACAACCATCACGCTCCTTGCACAGCACGCTTTGGTGTGCTCCTCTTGCTTCCTCACACACGCTGCAATCCACGCAAACGCGCTCACATATGCATGCACACATGCACACATACACGCACGTGCACGCCCATGTATACGCGCTGCAGAATGTTCGAGTCTGCTGGCAAGGTTGACTTTTGCCAGTTGGTCATGTCCAATGGTGTCTGTCGAGGGTTTGCATTCGTGGACATGGCATCGTACCACGACGCGGTGAGTGTGCAAAACTTCACTGCATTTGCTATCACTCCACGCACACATGCATACAAGGGCTGTCGTGTCGAGCATGTTGCAAAGGTGCGTACGCCAGGTGCTCACGTCGTTTTCCTTGCGATCTGACGTTTGGCACTATTGCATGTGGCAACAGTTGAGCGCACGCCGGCTGTTTAATGGAGCCGTGGTCGAGGGTGCAACCATTCGTGTGAGCTTTGGACACCCTCAAAAGGTCGGCAAACGCACATCTACATGTGTACATGTGTGATGGGGGGTGTGTGTGTGTGCGAGTGTGCGTGTGTGCGAGTGTGCGCGCGCGCTTTTGTGCGTGTGTGTGACGTGGGTGGTGGGCAGACATGCCCGTCCACGTGCAGGTTGCGTGTTGCCTCTTTGAACGCTCACAACGTGCCGTTCGTGGCGTGCTCTCGTTACTGTCATCAGACGGGTGCAAGCATCATGCATGGAAAGGAGGAGGTGGCCAAGGCCAAAGCAAGAGGTGGGTTGGTGTTGCAATTCGGTTGGAATGGTGTGCTTCAGATATGCGAATGGCGTGCTTCAGATATGCGAAGTACAAACACGCACACACACACACACACGCACACACACACACGCACACACACACACACACACACACACACACACACACACACACACACACACACACACACACACACACACACACACACGTGCACACACTGGCTGATGTGGTTGTGTAATCTGTGCTTGTATGCAGCTGAGCGTCAACTGCACCCGAGCAAGCAGAGGCTTGCATATCCACCCGTGGCACGCCGTAGCGCACCGACCCACCAGTTTCCCCGAGGAGCAGCCTTGCCTCCTCCACCAACCGCAAGCAACCGGCCGGTGGCTCAGCTGCAGGTGTCAGGAAACGGACTGCCACATGGCATGGGCAACATGCCGCATCACCCCATGCACATGCTGCCTCACCAACACCAACAGCACCAGCACTCTCAGCACTCGCAGCCGGCATACTACCACCCGCATCAACAACGCCAGCAGCAGAACCACGTACCCCATCCTCACGGCCTCCCTGGCTCAGCAGGTTGTTCAACCAACATGATGTCCACACAGCAGCCGCAGTCTCAGATGCTGTACCACCCTTCATCAGTCCCCGTCTCTCGCGAGTCCCACCCCTCTTTCCCTGCACAGCAGCAGGTATTCAAGGCCAGCCACTGCGAGGCCACGGCCTCGTTTGCATCCACCATGCCCGTGCCATCGCACCGCGTTCACCAGCAGCCGGCCGATACTGTTCCCGAGTTCTATCCGAGCAGTATGCCCCAGTACCACCACCAGCGGCAGCAGCAGCAACAGCACCGCACCCAGCATGGACATCGGTTGGCGTCTGCAGCATCTGTGTCGCCGTCGACGCTGTCGGTGTCCTCGTCCTCGCCCGAGTCACTGCCGTCGCCCGTATTGCCTGGCGCTGCCTTCCCTTCCTATTTGCCATCAGCGTCTGAGTTCGCGTGGCCATCCATGCCGTCGGCAACACACTTTGCCCCTATCGCTCACGCGGTGTCCTCGGCGGAGCCAACTTCTTCGTCGTCAGCATCGTCGTCGTCTTCAGCTTCATCATCGTCGTCTCCCATGACGTTGGTGAGCGACGGTGCGTTGTCGATGGCGGCAGGCCAGGCGTGCAGTGGCCAGCAGGGCGTGTCAACACCAGCGCAGACTTCGGGTTCATCGGAACACGCGATGGTGGGCGCCCCGCTTGGATCCTTCCAGCCTGTCTCGACCGGGTCTGTGTCGACCTTGCCACCTGTCTCTCAGGCGCTGGGCGTGTTTCCAGCACACTTGCCTGCAAGCAACGCCGCGCAACCGAACCTGGAGAGCTGGCGACAGGCACCTGCGTATTGCCCGACGGTGTCTGTTGCCGATGCGTCGGTGACAACCCCCGTTTCTCAGCGGGTGCGGGCCTGTGCACGTGCGCGGACACCTCAGCAACGCCACAATCAACGAACAGATGAGTTCTTTCCCGTGCTTGACATGAACTTGCTCACACCAGGCAAGATGGCTCAGCTGTTTCAGACCACTTCATCCAACCAAGGTGTGCGCGTGTGTGCATGTGTATGTGCATGTGTGTGTGTGCATGTGTTCGTGTGTGTGTGTGTGTGTGCATATGTGTGTGTGTGCATATGTGTGCATGTGTGTGTGCATGTGTGTGCATGTGTTTATGTGTGCATGCGTGTGCATGTGTGTGTTTCGTTTTCCTTGCCTCTTTGTGCCGCGTCCTTGTTTTGTGTCATGAGCACTGTGTACTGACGCCTGTCCTTCTCGTTGCTGTGTTCTGTCTAGGTGCCGCGTGCTCGCCGAGCGTGGGCATTAGGTGCCGCACCCGCGAAAGCTTGGGCGGCGTCGTTGTGTCGCCAGCGCACCGCTTTGAAGAGGCACCGTCGTGCCCCCTTGAGGCACAACACTTTTCAATCAGCCCCATCGGTCCGCCCAAGGTGTGTGTTTTGTGTGTGTATGTTGTGTGTGTGTGTGTGTGCGTGCGCGTGTGTGTGTGTGTGTGTGTGTGTGTGTGTGTGTGTGTGTGTGTGTGTGTGTGTGTGTGTGTGTGTGTGTGTGTGTGTGTGTGTGTGCGTCGCCTTCTGACGATATAGAAGCGCCAACACCTCATCCTCTTCCCCAAATGCTCCTCCTGTCATGCTACTTCTGTTTCCATATGACTTCTGTTTCCATATGCAGCTGTCATCTCGTCTGCCTTTGTCGATCGCTGAGGAGGAGGAAGAGGAATACGTGACTTCTGACTCGGCCGCTGTCATGGCGTACCATGACGATGAAGCCGAACCTTTTGGTGACACCACCTTTGAGCTTGCTCGGGAATTTGTAGATAGGCTTGTCATGTGCTGAGTCGATAGCACCCTTGCCCAGCCCCGTCTTCTGAACACTTTATCGCCCTGACTGTTGGTTCTCTCCTCTGGATGTGTTTGCTGTTGTTGTGTGATGGTTGCTGTCAGTTTGAACCTTTGAATGCAGCGGGAGTTCACAGTGTCCTGTCGTTGCCACCGCCACGGTGCTTGTTTTGCTTGTCGTATGACATGATGTCAAATCAGCATCCTCTCTTTCTTTGCTTTGTGCCAGAAAGCCGCCTTGCTGCCTTGCTGCCTTGCTGCCTTGCTCAACATTACATTCCGCACGGCATGCAGACACGCCCTCCCGAAGCTTCATGAGCAACCACCCAGCAAGCAAGCACGCCAGATTATTCACAGTGTGTCTGTCTGTTCCTGGAAGTCGAAAGGAGAGTCGCAAGGGAAGACCTTGCACCCAACCACGCTTTCGCGTTGCAATGACGTTTTCCAAGCAGTCAAGCGCAGGCAACACGCACGCGCTTCAAAACGAAATTCCAGGAAAGCCAACGAACTAGTTGGTGCGTCTTGTTCGTGTAGTTGTGTGTTGGTCATGGTGGGGGCAGGCTGCCTCGCACCATTGCGCATGTTGGCTGTGTCGTCAAGAGGGCTGCTTGTCGTTTGTGGGCTTTGTGTTCTCGACGTCAGCCATTGCTATAAGCCACCAGCAAGACTTGGTTGTTGGGTTGTCTCCGACCAGCAGCCAGATTCATTTCTTCCGTGGCAAGTTGACACTTTCACCGACCACCACTCATCCTTGCATGTGCACACACCAGCAAGAACAGCACGCGCAGAAAGACAGAAGCATTCCACTCCTCTGATCCTGCACCACAGCAGTGTGCCATCGTTGGTCGTGTGCGACTAAACCCCTGGTGGTCGCCCCCCCCCCCCCCCCCCCCGTAACCAACACATGAAGCACTCAAGCAGGCCCTCAGGCACGCAAACACTCAAACAGGACACCGAGAGGGAGAGGAACAGCTTCGTATCCGACCAGCGCACTTACAACAACAACACCCATCTGCCCAGCCTCTGCCTGTGAGCCAGACGCATAGATACCGCCAGACGAGCAGACGCACCCTCCTCCTCATCCTCCTCATCCTCATCCTCCTTTCCCGTCCTTTTCGGCAACAGTGCGAGCACCCAAGACCGAAACCGCACCCACCAGTCAAACGCGAGACTTTGACGCTCTACCAACTTCCTGATCCGCTTTCCGAGCCGCCCCCGCTCTCCCCTCTTTCAGCACACCCCCTCCCCCTTCGCTACTACGCGTCACGAGCGGGCCATGTGTGCTCAGGTGCAGATCCAAGACCGAGCTGCCACGCCGGTTATCTCCATTATCTACTGGTCACGACAAGCCATCGTGCCTGCAGGCAAGCTCAAGGCATGGCTGGAGATGCACGACGTCGCGTCTGTGCGCCTCCCTTCCAGCGCGCTCTTCAGCAAGCACCACCACGGCTCATCCACCACCCATGAGGCAGACATCGCGTTACTGGAGCTCATACAGATGGCAAGAGCAATCATCATCCTGGACATACACGAGCCCGTGGGTCCAGACAACAATGCGGCATCCTCACGTGCAGGGAGGGCACACATGTGGAACAGCCACAGCACCGCAGCCGTCCTTCGCTCCATCATCACTACAAAGAAGCCGTGCATCGTTGTCAACTTGTGGACGGCCATGGCGAGCCCGGTGCAGCGCCGTCGCTCACGCCCTCCCTCGCAGCCAGGCAGCAATGTCGCACCATCAAGCAGCAGCAGCAGCATCCGCCTTCCTGCCGGGCTCGAGGCGATAGCAACGGTGCACTGGCACATGGGTACGGCCGAGTGCAGCGACAGGCCACCGCAAAAGCTCATCCTGGCCCTCATGCACGTGCTGGGCAAGGATACGTCGCTTGTTTCCCACCGCAGCAGTCGGTCGCCAAGTCTGGGCCACCGTTCGCCGCGCCGCACCGTCAGCGATCCGAGGGGCATGCGCCAGCGGCCCCGCACCCTCTCACCAGCAGCGCAGAGCACGGGCACGCTGCCACGTATCCACACGCGGTCTGAGGACACACGCTTCCCACATGAGCACCAAGGCCTTCGCCGAGTACGCAGCCTCGCTCCCAACAGTCTCAACACGGGCATGGCGACACGCATGACGCCAACAGCGCCGGCAACCACAACGGCAAAGCAACCCCCAGTTACGACTGCTCCGCCCGAACCGCGCCGCCCACAGCTGCCAAAGCCACAGGCAGCGAGGCTGTTCCCCTCTGTCCCTCCGCCGAACAGCAAGCCACGCCGCACAAACACGTCCACGACTGGCACGTTTGCAGGAATCAGCATTCACACCAGCAGCATCAGCAACACCAGCAGCACAAGCAGTCTTGGCACGAACAATACCAGCCATCTTCCCAGGACGCACGGTCTGCGAAAGCAGCGCCTGAACGGGCTCTGCACCTCCAGCATCACCCACGCTTCATCGTCACCACTGCTGTCAGCACCGTCGTCCCCATCGCCATCGCCAGCGACCATACCACCATCACTGGCGCAATCGTGCTTGTCTGGTGGTGATCGGCTGGACACATCACCCACAGAGCAGCAGCAGCAGCAGCAGCAGCAGCAGCAGCCGCGGTTTCCCGAGTGCCCTTCATTGGCATCACAGCTGCATGATGGCATGCCAATCAGAACAGTGCTGCGCGCCATGGCCGAGCGCTCATCCGACGTGCATATCCAGCGCCGTGGGTGCGACCTGGTGCTGAGTGCCACCCGACGGGCCACGGCCGCACACGCTAGCTTCCAGAGCGCCATCAACGAGCTTGCAGCGAACCACCAACAGGTTGCACATGGCGGCGGAAGCGCCGCTTCGGACACATCGGCACACGCACGTGCTGCCGTGCCACTAATTGGCGAACATGAGTGTGGGTGCGACATGCAGATGCAAGGGCCGTCGTCCTCATGCGGGTACCGCGAGCTGATCGACGGGGGTGCAATTGCGGCGCTCTGCACAGCAATGCAAGCGCACCCGGGCGACATGGCTGTGCAAACACACGCACTCGAGGGCATGGCAGCGCTGGCTGCGGTGGGAGGCGCACGCCACTCGATTGTGCGCCGGAACGGCATCGAGTTGGCACTGAGCGCACTGAGCACACACGACAGCCTGGATGACGACGGCGGCCTCGTGACTGCAGTGGCCGTGTTCATCGAGCAGCTCACATGCAGCAGCCACGTCATCCGCAGGCACGTGGCGACGAAAGGTGGCGTCCAAGCACTGCTGGGTGCGTTTGTCCGACACCAGAACAACACGTGCGCTACGGCGGCTGTGCTGCGTGCCTTGTTCAACCTCTCCTTTGATGCGGCTGCCCGCGTGCGCATGTTGTCCATGCACTTGGGCGATGCCGTGCAGAGCCTGCTTGTCCGCCAACGCCAGGCGATGAGAGTGTCCTCGACATGTCGCCAGCTCCTCCGCCCAGCCGCAGTCAACCTACTGCGCCGCCTTGTCCTACCTTGCCCGCTCTCGCTGGCCTTCCCTTTGCACCATGACAAGCACAAGGCCGAGGAAGAACAAGGAGACCACTGATTCATGTGTGTTGTGGTGTGTGTGTTGTTGTTGTGTGTGTGCGTATGTATGTGTGTGTGTGTGTTGTTGTTGTTGTGTGTGTGTGTGTGTGTGTGTGTGTAGGTGTGTGTGTGTGTGTGTGTGTGTGTGTGTGTGTAGGTGTGTGTGTGTGTGTGTGTGTGTGTGTGTGTAGGTGTGTGTGTCCGTCTTTGCTGCACTGCTGCCCGCCACTGCCCCAAACACAAACAAACGCTGCCGCCAACCCGGACACAACGATAATTATGTGATATTTTCAATAAAACTTCTACAAGCCGAGCATGAGGCAAGCGCAGCACTGACACACACCAAGAAGCTTGATGCAAGGGGCGATGGTGCTTGCTTGAGCGATGGTGGGCACTGAAGCAAGAACACAACGTCCTCGCATCACAGTGCCAGCCTGCGGTGCTTGCGAGAAGCGGCTAGACAGCAAGGGGTTGTTTGGCTGTGTGATGTGCGTGTGTACGCCGCGTTCATTTTTTCTCCGACCATCATCAACCAAGCAACCAAGCAACCAAGCAACCAAGCAACCAAGCAACCAAGCAAGCCAGAAGCTAAGCAAGCAAGCCAAGCCAAGCCAACCTCCATCCTCCATCCTCGCAAGCAGAAGCCCACACAGTCTGCCAAAGCCCCTTTGTCGTCGACCACAACAACAACAGCACAGCAACAATGTTCGGTAACATGAAGGGTGTCGCTGCCCAGGCTGCCCTCGCCGCCACCATCTTCTTCGTCTACACAAGGACTGCCGGCAAGCAGACACAGGCAGACCGCGAGATGGCCATGCGTCTCAAGGCCGCCAAGCAATAAGCAAGCACAAAGCAAGCACTACCGTGATGACTACCGCTGGCCCGCCAGAACGATCCCTCGTCTCCTGGACTTGCTCGCGAGTGCCCTCGATCGGTGCCTGCCATTCGTCCTAATGTATCCCCACGCCTTTGTTTCGCACGCGTTGTCTTGTCGGGTACCTTGTCCTGCTCACTCGAATGACCGTGATGTACACGTCATGAGCACATCCTCTTCCTGAAACGATGATATCCCCCTCCGTCCTTGCTTGTCGGCGCCTTCTTTCATTCATCAAAGCATCTGTGCTCGTTTATGAGGCAGTCGCCAAGGAAATAAAAGCAATCGAACCCTATGCCAGTCATGCAATCACATTATGCTCAAAAGACTAAGCGTTGAGGCAGCTGAAAGACTGCTTGAGCGCACAAAGGATGATAGATGGAGACGTCAATTGTTTGTGACATTGTAACAAAACAGCAGGAGCCAAACGAACAGCAGGGTGCACAAACAAACAAACACACACACACACACACACACACACACACACACACACACACACACACACACACACACACACACACAGTACGCAGGAAAGGGTCAGTCAAGTGGCGGATGCGATTGCGCCTGCTGTGCGGGCGACGACGCGGTCCAGCTGCGCCTTGATCTTGGTGATGGCGGTCGTGCTTGCATGCAACGCCGCGTGCAGATTGCCAATCGCAGCCTGCCGCCGCGCCATCTCCGCCCGCCCTTCGTCCACCAGCGCAAACGATAGCGACGATGCATCAACGTCAAACGCGCTGCTCGCTGTCGCCGCCACGGCTGGCCTGCCCCGCTTCGTGCCCTGACCAGAAGAGCCACCAGCATCCTCCTCTACACTGCCGTAACTGTTGCCGTAGTTGCCGTTGCTGTCTTTGTTGCCGCCACTACTGTTGCTGTGTCTATTGCATCCACTGCTTCCCTCGACGCGCGTGTGCGTGTCCGCGCGCCCACGAGCGCTTCCCGTGGCGGCGCGGGTGGTGGCGGCGCTGATGGCGCGCAGTTCCGCCCGCAGCCGCGCCACGTTCTCCGTCGCCTCCCGCGCAGTCGCCCGCGCAAACGCGTTGTCGTGCCGCAGCCGCGCCAGCGCATCCTCCAGCCGCTGCTGGTGGCCAGACACCTGCCGTGGTGCCGTCGTGGTGGTGAGTTGGTTGGTTGGTGGGGCAAAGGTCAGTGAAAAAAACAAATAAACAAATAAAGGAAGCGCAGGAAGAGGCAATGGGGTTGCACGCGCAGGATGAAAAACAAACACAGCCGAAACGCGCTGTACCCAACAACGTGAAGGGCGCCACACGCAAAGATGATGTGCACAACGATGCGTGCATACAAAACGCACGCACATATGATACAATACAAGCACACACACACATGATACAAGCACACGCACACAACTGCACAAAATGTTAACACACACATGACATACACACATGACACACATGACACACCATGTCGTGCTTCTTCTGGACCAGGGCGAGCCGGTGCTCAAGCAACGCCTCCTTGTCTGCCTGCTGCCTGTCCAGCTTCGCCTTGGCCTCCTCCGTGCTGCGCAGGTGCTGTGTCGCCTCCGCGTGCGGGCCCTGCACCCGCTCTACCTCCTCCGCCATCGCCCGCAGCGCCTGATCCCGCGTCTCAAGCTGCTGCCGTCGCCGCTCCTCCCCTGCCCTCAGCTCCGCAACCTCCTTCCGCGCGTGTGTGCACTGCACCTGCAG